AATTTATAAATAAAATTTGAGCAATATCTTCATACTCACGAATCAATAAGGTAGTTTGTACTATGCCTAATATAGATCTTTTGTACTGCTACAGGTTTTATGGCGTAGCCAAAAACTTTTTTCAGGGCTTGCAATACGTGCAAACCAAATGTTCGATATTTAAGCCTGTAAACGAGTTGAGTCGAACTCGAGCTCGAGGCTCGATGTTAATTAAACGAGCCTAAAGTCGAGCTCGAGCTCTGCTCGTTTATCACTAAGAACTAGTCGAGTTCGAACCATAATGAGCCGATCTCGAGCTTTAACAAGCCGTACTATACAAAATTATATAAATTATATATTTTCGAGCCTTAACGAGATGCTGAGCTCGTTAACCAAACGAGCTTTAAATGAGCTCGAGTTCGGCTCGTTTATCAAATGAGCTCGAGCTCCGCTGGTTTATCAAATGAGCTCGAGCGACTCGTTCGACTGAACCCTAGCCTCAACGAGTCGAGCCATGCTCGTTTAATTTAATAGCACCACCGATAACATCATTCGATTTGACTTGTGAAAAGTCGAACTCGACTCACTTGTATATTTAAGCAAGCAAACGTCAAACTACTAATCGAGTTTTTCTATCAAACAAGTCGAGTTGAACGTGTTCGCGATCGACTCGGTTAGAATTTTAGGTTTTGGTGTAGATTTAAAGGATTATTAAACGAGTCGAACTGAGTTTAAACGATCCAAACTCGGACTCACATTTCTGTTTGTTTAAACAGGTTTATTCATGGCAAGTCGTTTATTAAGTGCACATGAATTTAAACATGAAGTACTTGACTCGAATAATCTAGCTAGACACATATATAAAAATAAATAAAGTATGAAAACAATTTTGAAGTATTAATATAAATTACATGAATCATGCATTAAATAATATTAAAATATAAATGTTGTATTTGTAAAATGAAAATCAATTATATGGACCTCCTAAAAAACTTGTGAATTATATTAACTACTCTTTATACATATGACAAATCATAACTTTTAAATTAATTATTTTTTAAATGCAAAGATTTTTTTCTCATATACTTGAAATTTAATGAGAAAAAATAATATATTTATTAAAAGTCCGCCATGAGATATCTTATCGCTTTATTCATATTGTATTACATTACATTTAAGGTTCATATATCATTCCGTTGAATATGCTACATAAATAAATGAGACTTGACATTAATTTTTTATATATTGAAATACCATTTATTTGAAAAATAAAAGAAAATATAAGAATATTGTAAAATCAATAAATTCAGCCGCATACTAAATATTCTGATGAAAGTCTAACATAAACAATTATTTTCTTGAATAAGTTTATTAAAAAACAATTTATTTAACTAAATAATATAATGTAAACACAAAAAGAAGACGAAAAAAGACGTAATGAGCTAAAAGGGAAAGCGAGAAGAGACTTAAACTATTTTTAAATATATAATTTATTAATTTAATTCAAAATAAATATAATTTATTTTGTGCTAAAATAAGATTAATCCGTGACTAGTCTAATATAACATGAACTAAAATATTTTTTACTAGTATAATTTTGATGTCCCGAAAAATTAAGAACGTTCTGGAGGCCATCCCAGCCTTTGTGGTGGCTAAAACGATTAGACAAATAAATCAAAAATGCAAAAGCCAAGGTATGCCCCTAAAACAAGTGGAAAAATCGAATTTGCTTGGACAAACCATATTTTGGACCAAAGCATTGAACGTTACCCATCCTTTAAAATGCACACTTCCTCTTCCGATTCTCTCGACTAGTTAAGTAATCGTTCCAACTAAATAGAATCCAAAACTTCATTTAATAATCACCCGGCCAATAACACTATCACCACCAATTTCGAAGCTAACCATGAATTCTATATAAAATCCATCACCACAAGATCCATCATACTTAAAAAATTTGAAGAATGATACATTGTCAACCTAGTGTACAACTAGGTTGACAACACAAATAAAAATATCTAAAAAAAAATAAAAATACAAAAGTGGATGTTTCCACTTGTGTTGTCAACTTAGATGTACACTAGGTTGACAGTGTAGCATTTCCCAAAAAATTTAGATGCTAATGATAAAAAAATCTCGAATGTCATACTCATATTTAAAGCATCTTCTTCATCCGCCAGCCAATACCAATAACACTGTTTGTTATAGGTTAAAATAAAAAGTAAGATCTGTTATTGGTTACATGCAAAGGTGTAAGGAAGCTTATACGTTACATGCACAATTATAACTTGAGTTACACAATGCATGAATGTAAGATAAGTTTCAATAAATTGCATGTTATGAGATGAGTTTCACAAATGTTGAAACTTATTGGTTTAATTAATCTTGAATTAATTAAACATAAGTTTCATTTTGAAATTAATGGTTCTTCTATCAAGAAGATGAGTTGTGAACATTAAGTAATCTTTCTTACACTTGTAACCACACATGGCATATGTCACCTATATATACTTCTCTTCTTTGTGAAATCTTATGAAGGAAGTAGAAGGCTTGATCAATCCCAAAACCCATTTCCATTTTGTGTTCCCTAAAGATTTCCAAGAGAAGAAGGAAATAGAGTTTTTGAACAAAGTTCCAAAGACTTGTTTGAGCCTTGTGTTGCATATTATTTTTGAGAGAAATATTAAATAAATAAAAATTGAGTTTTGTTGAGTGTCTCTTTTTAATAATTATTTCCAACAATCAAAAACTCTATCTACATGGAGACAGAGACGATCAAAATCATGAACCAAGACCTTATGAAATTGGATAGGTTTGATGGATCGAATTTCACAAGGTGGCAAGACAAGGTGAAATTTCTTCTCACGGCCCTCAAGATATTTTACATCCTCGATCCTACCTTGGCTCCACTACCAAAACCAAATGAAAACGGTATGCTCCAAACTATGGTTGCATGGAAGAAAAGAGAGGAAGACGAGTTAATATGTCGGGGTCATATTTTAAATACCTTGTCTGATAGGCTATATGATCTCTACACTAATAATTCGGCTAGAGAAATTTGGGAGGCTCTAGAAAATAAATATAAAACCGAAGAAGAAGATACTAAAAAGTTTCTAATTTCCCAATATTTTGATTTCAAATTTTTTAACGAAAATCTTTTATTACCTCAAATTCATGAGTTGCAAATACTTGTGAATAAATTGAGAGTTTTAAAAATTGAACTTCCGGAGACTTTTCAAGTTGGTGTCATTGTGGCTAAACTACCTTCAAGTTGGAAGGGGTACTGAAAAAGGGTTCTCCACAATAAAGAAGATTACTCCTTGGAGGAGATTCAAAAACATCTTCGTATTGAGGAAGAATCGAGATTAAGAGATAAAATGGTTGATGAGTCCAATGGTGGGACTAGCAAAGCAAATATGGTTTCAAAACCAAAATACTTTGCTGATAAAAATAAAAAATCCAATAATGCTTTCGGTCCAAAGAAAAATCATGAAAAGAAAGGCTCTTGTTATGTATGTGGGAAACATGGACATTTTGCAAGAGATTGCAGGAACCGAAAGGGGGCTGAAGTGAATGCAATTGATGATGAGATCGTTGCAACTTTTAGCCATGTATTGTTAGAAAATATTTTATTTCCTATATATAATATAATTATGGGCAACATATTATATACAATTATATTAGCTATTCAATTAATTAATGGACTCAATTAAGTGATCTAAATAAAGTAGAATCCATGGACTACGTAAATTGATATGGGCTGATTGAGTGGATACCTAATATTATTAGGGTTAGGTGATAATGAATGGCCTACCCTAGTACTATATAAAGACCCTCTTAGTTATGGTCTCCAATACACTAAATCAAACATAGTTCTCTTTTCTCCCCCATTGGAATTAATGACGGTCCCATATGAGGAATAAAGTGATTTAGTTGAGGAAGGCCATAAAACCAACCCCGATGAAGTGTTCGTGATCCAGATCGTGTTCGTGTCAACATTCATAGAAGTGAGATCCAGAGATTGATGATAAGGTATTCCACATCTAGATACAATCTCAATGGATCAGGTATTCTTTATAATCCTTATGATCTATAATCTAGCGCGATGTTGATTTCTTAGAATTAAAGCATGTTCTAGGACAATTGTTATTGAATTTATATTATTTGATTATAAATTCCTACAAGAGGTATCAGAGCAGCCACCGTGTGTTAGATCTATGTATTGTTATAAATGTTCAGCCTTTTCCTCTTGGAAACTGGACTTTTGTTCGACATATATTTAAAGTTTGAATTTTGCTATTGATATGGATACTATGGGTTGTCTATTAAATTAATTAGTCTGAGTTTATCGGATTAGCACCGAATTTCATATAATGATCACATGGGTTTCTTTGTTGATCAATATGATTATTGTGCAAGTGTATGCTTGTTTGCCTGGACGGTAATGTTGACTGTAAATTAAAGATGCTATTTGGTCTTGGGTTGCAGGCCAATGTCCTTGTACAGATGTATGTATGAATTGCTTTATTAATCACTAGTACAACACTCGTGTAATACACGGGTGATTAAAAGAAATTATATTTCACAAAAGGTAGAATTGCAATAATTTACATAATAATGTAAAAAATAAAGATAAAAATAAAAACAGAAATTGTAATATTATTTCAAATTTTGAAAAACTTCTCGATATACAACGTTATTAGTTCGATTTACAATATTTCCATCATTGTCGCAACAAAGAATTTTTAAACCTCTTCTGCTCTTAACTCTAGATATTGCACATAAAGCTGACCATGACTGAATACGGATTTAGGTAGGTACAACCCAACATTAGACAATGTTTGTCCCTTACTCTTGTTAATGGTCATCGAAAAATAAGTGGCCGATTATCAAAAATATTTTGGTATTAAAACCAAATATATAAGACTACTTACAATTTCCAATGCATGTTTAAGATCAGCAGGTTTCTTCCCGAGGATTGGAGAACATGAGGATCAAAAAGAACAAAAGATGTCGTACCGGTCTTGTCTTCTACCCGTACGTGCACACGTTAACCTAAGCATAACCATAAATATGTAAGGTTCTTTCATTTACTATAGGTAATTTCAACCATAAAATAATGAAAATAATTAAATACTAATCAATTTGAAGTTCCACTCATATATTTATATTACCGGACAATGACAGCATCGAGGAAAACTTTACAACTGTAACACCAAAATTTCTCATTCTCTTCACTAACTTTACGGTAGTGGAAAATGAACATAACCTCATTTATTGAATCCAATTCATCAATGGATTTGAAGTCTAACTCAGCAGGGAAGTCATCAATCAATGAAATCGATCTACGCGATGAATCTTCTCTCGACGAATAAGATTTTGATACTTGAATAGGATTTTCCTTCAAGCTGTGTAATGGAAAAAAATAAACAAAGGCAATTTATTTAATTGATGAATTATCACAAAACAATATATGACTTGTTGAAGTTATTACCTTTTGACATAAGAGTCGATGTCCTCTAAATCATCATTTATGATCAACTTACTTGCAAATAACGAATTTTGCAAGTTAACATATGCTGCAATTATAAATAAGCAAAAAAAAAAAAATTAATACCGTCGATCATAATGATGAAATTTAACCAGTTATAAAGAAATAAGTTTGATATGTTTATTAACCTCCCCATCTCTTAACCATAGCATGTTGAAGGATGATGACTACTGGATCACCTTTTTTTGTATTCCAGTAGTTAACCATTTGGATTGCAAATTCATTCCACAACTACAATCAATAGACTCACCACTAAAAAAGAAAAATCACATCTTCAAATATTTACCAACTATAAAGGCCAAATGAAAAAAACATAGTATAGCATATATACAGAATGTAAACAGAGAATATAAGCAATATGTAAAGAGAGTAATCAAACCCAGCAGAAAACCTGAAACCTAAGAGAGCTTGTTTTAAGTTCATTTCACAATTCATAAAGAGATGGAATGGAACTCCAAGAAATGGAACAAGGTATTTTGGAATTGGGTCCAACACAAACTGAAGCAATTACAATTTAAGTCAACACAGAAGGAACTCTTTCAAGGGATTGAGTATGTAAACGTCAAAAGCTTATAACAAATCAATTGTGCCCTAATAAATTTTTAGAAGCTACCAATAAATTCATTACATGTCTGAAAGACATCTCACAAACATGGCTATTGTATGTCATTTCCATATTATTGATTTTTTTTGTCAGCAGTGCCTCAGATATATCAGATTCCTCTTTGGTTTTCCAGTTACGGATGCACAAAAATACAAGTGAAGCAAAATAAAGCAGCAATGCCATATTGGATACAAACTTTCATAAACCCCATGGAGATGTGTTAAAGAGAGAGAATACCACATCATCATCCTACAGAAAAACAATCATGATAGCAAGACAGCATATTATGAAAGTTTATATTAGCCTGTCTAGGTTAAACAGAGATACTGTTACCTCAAGTTACGTAAATGCGCCTTAATCCTCAGCGACCATCCCGTTCGAATTTCACAAGCTCCTTCAATAGTGAATATGTTATTCCAAAAATAATGAGATACAGAATATTCACCGTGGTTCATTTCACATATTAGTAAAATGAAAAACAAAACTTTTTCAGTAAATGATTTCATAATGTAATTAATATTTAAGGAAATTGACAATTGAAAAAAAAAATATTATTTCAACGCAGTCAACGTAAGGCTGACTTTATTGGCAAGGTTGCTAAGTGTTTGTGTTGTATGTCATCTCCAGAAGTACTATGTAAAGAGAGGTTAGTACCTGTGAGCATTGCAACACCAACCTTGGCCAAGGAGATCGTGCGGAAGTAGATCCTCCAGCAGTAGGAGGCAGCAGCAGTCGGAGAAGATGTTGAAGATGTTGAAGGGCTAGTAACAGTATTTTCGAACCGGCCCTTAGAATTAAATTGGGGAATTAAATTGGGGGCCATGGTTTCGGAAGATCGGCAACGATCGGGGAATATAATCGCCAGTGTGATTAGTGGGAAATCATACAGTAGTGCTTCGGACGATCGGCGGAGCCGCAGATGCTTTGCGTTTCTTTTTCTGTAAATTTCAAATGGAAACATATCAATAGCTGATAGATTATTGAAGGAAGCAAATCAAAAGTCATGTTAGTCACATGATGCAGCACTATGTAAGATTACAAACAATTAAAGGGTTATATTAGTCTGTGGTATGAAAGTAACTAAGTTAACTTAATAATATTTATAGAATGTTCGAACCTAAAATTATTAAGTTATAATATATATCAATATTATTTGTCTAAACTAAATTACGAAGCATAATTCTTTACCAAGTAGAATTTTGAAGCACCAAAAACAGCCACGTAGGCTCAGTGCATTTTAAAATTATATGTATGAGAGAATTTTCAATTAACACGTGTTTGTTGCAAAAGGTCAGAACAATATTTGCTTCATGACATCCTAAATTTTGGTTTCAAAATCACGATGAATTACATTTACGGCTTGAGATTCGATTCTTTTTTGTGTCAGTTAGAGCATCTCCAATGTGAGATGTTGACTTAATTAAATTTTAGCCACATCATCAAGTTATAAAGTGATTACAAAAATTACTCTCCAATCCATAATGTTATGGACTCTTTTATGCTGACATGGAGAAAATAAATATCCAAAGTGTGAAGCTCACTTTCTAGTTTTCCAAAGAGTGTTTGAAAGCCAACTCATAAAAAATCTAACCTATTTTAAGCTTTTGAAAGGGACGCATTGGAGATGCGCATTCCAAATTAAAGTCTTCTCTTTTGACATTCATTTACATGGATTTACATTCCATTCATCATTTGACATGTGTTCAAATTTAATTAATGTTGAAAGTGGAGCATTGGAGATGCTCTTATAATGGCCGTGTATGTTGATTCAGTGGATGAAATTTTGGGCGCAACATTCACATTACTTGCAGGCTATTAACTGTTAATTTGTAGGATAACAAATTGGTTCATTAATTGACATTGAGTTTATTGCTCAATTATATGATATGCAAATATATGCGCTATATTGTTGAATGTCTTAAAAGATGAACTCATGTATTTTGAATCCAGTTCAAAATGTGTTTCTTGGACTGATTAAATAAAAGTCTAATTTGGTTGTACATATAAACGACGGCTCAAATGAAGATTTATTGTTTGATATGTCAAAACCGGACCGGTCATCGAACCGGTGAAGCTACCGGTTCAATGGTTCACTGGTCAAACCAGTGGTCGAACCGGTTTAATTAATATATAATTTATTTATTTATTTTATATGTATAATATATAATTATATATATTTTTATCATTTATTTTATAGTATATAATGACATTTTTCTAAATAATATCTCAATAATCAATATTTTGAGTATAGTTTAAATATTAATTTAAGTTCACTAAAACAATAGATTAATAATTTAATGTCTAAAGCAAGGCAATACAAATCACAAATACAAACTACAAAGTACAAAGTCATCAAAAATCAAAATACATCCAATCCAACATAACAACGAAGCAAAAAAAAAAGAAATAGCTTCAAGTAGTTCAAGTTCAAAATACATCAAATCACCGACTAGAACGAATCGTCATAATTTCCACTAACTCCTCCAAATCCAAGATGGCATGACCATAACCAAAAAATCATCATCCCCATTTCCATCATCTCCACCATCACCGAAGTTCAAATTGGATGCATCGGGCATATTTATGTCCATGTTAACATCATTGCGATCTACGTAAATGCAAAAATAAAAAAAAAATAAATAATAAAAAAAAGAGTAAATTAACATGAAGTGCTCAAAATAAATATACCAAAGATATAATTTTTTGTAAGCAAACAACTTACCGACGATTGGAATAGTTTGTTCATCATAAATTAAGTTTCCAACTTCATCCTCATCAAATTCCGGTTGTGGATCGTCATCCACTACCCAAAAATCAAGTTTGTCAATGCTTTCATAATCAATTGGATCATAAGATCTTTTCTTTTGATGCTTCCTATAACATAGAAATTATAATTTATCTAGAGAAGTTTAAAATGTAACAAATGCCAACAAAAGAAACATCGCACATATTAATTAATAAATTATAATATTAACTTACCTATCTTTCAAACGCAAGTTGTAAGAGATGTAAACATGATCACAAAGCCTTTGATGCTCCAGTTTATTCCTTCTTTTTGGTGTGGATTATATCAAACAAACTCCAGTTTCGTTCACATCCAAATGATGAAGAAGTTTGGCTCAAGATGCGGATGGCAATATTTTTTAATATGGGAGCACTCCCGCCAAACAACCTCCACCATTCATCTACAATAATAAAATAGGAAAAAAATTGATTAAAAATAAAAGAATTAGACAATATGTACGTAAAAAGAATTATACAACTATAAATAATATTTTTACCTGGTGTAAGTGATTTTGCAGCCTCTAAACAAGATGGCCTAGAGAAACTATCCTTGCGCTCTCTATATATTTGTATCTCTTTCATTGCTTTAATCGAATCATTACATAGGCTCTTGATATCCAGTATATCAAGTAATCCATTCAACACTCTATGTTTCTCACAAAAACTTTCATCATAAAAGAAAGCCGGATTGAGATAATAAGTTGCAGCATGAATACTACGATGCAAGTGTTTATCCCATCGAGCCTGAATAATTTCAGTGTAAGGCTTGTACACACTTTTCCTTTTTCCGAACATCTCCTTGATACCATTCTTTGCCCTTTGCATTCCTTCATACACATATCCCAAAGACGGTTTTTCTTCCGCATCAACAATTCGCAACAGTCTAATAAGAGGGCCTGCAAGCTTAACCGCAACTTGGCACTCTCGCCAAAATTTAGCATCCAATATAGTTTCACAAACCATTTTTCCATTAACACTTTTAGCTAATCTATGCCCAGTAAAGTGTTTATCAACCATCAAATCTTGCAAGTCCTCTTTATGATCACAAATACTTCTTAAAGTAATAAAGACTGTAGCAAATCGAGTAACTCCTGGACGTACTATCTCCTTCCAACCAGACCTCTTTCTAAGCCAAGACAAAAATATCATATGATTATAGACAAAGATAGTAATCTTTGAAGCACGAGAGGCGAGGTGGCTTATATGAGGTAATGAGGAGATATCTTTCAATATCAGATTCAAACAATGTGCTGCACATGGGGACCAAAAAATGTTTTCATACTTATCATGAATCAACTTTCCAGCTGCTACATAATTTGCCGCATTATCAGTCACTACATGCACAATATTTGCAGACCCAATCCATTCAATAACATCAACAAACAAATTGAACAGATTTTTTGCATCTTTCACGTGAATGTCAACAGATTTAATGAATGTCATACCTGCGGGACAATATACCAGGAAGTTTATCAAAGTTCTTTGCCTTTGATCACTCCAGCCATATGTCATAAGTGTGAAACTAGAGTTCTTCCAACTGCTGACACTCTTCGAAAACTTTCAACGAGAAGCTGACACTCTTTTTTGCAATCTCCCAACAAGTTCACCCTAATACCATTATATGAAGGACCTTTAAATCCAGGTCCAATGGCAGCAATTGCATCTAAAGCTGGCTGAAAATAACAAGATTTGGTCGCATTAAATGGAATGCAATTGGCGTAGAACCATCGAGCAAGAGCCATGTTAGCATTTTTCACCGCCTCTTTGGTTGCGAACACACTTTAAGGCCCGGCTGAGATCCTAGAGTTTTCCTCGGCGCAAAATATCTATCGACAGGACCAGCGACGGCTTTTTTCTTCCCTTTACCGGTAGCCAGAGTAGACTCGGGTACTTCTCGTACTTCTTCAGGTGCATTTGCCATGCTCCCTTCCTCATAATCATCGTAATCAGGATCATCTATTTTTTGCTTTACTTGGTCCAAGTGTGCTGCCATCCGAGATTTAACATCGTGCGTCACTTGCTTACACGCAGCTATTTCTCCCTTCTTCCCAGCCAAATGACATTTCATTTGATGAATTCCCCCACCTTTTTGAATTGATTCTTACAGAACAAACAAGTGTATGTGGACTTTCCATTCTCACGAATTAAACTCACAAATTCCCAAGCAGGATCAGATTTTCCACGGCTAGATTGTGTCGATTGCATTTCATTATTTGAACCCTCCATGTCTGTAAGCCTGTGACGGAGAGCTGGTCGGACCACGAGAGTTGCTCGATATGACAGCAACAGAGAGGATGAGTGAATGAATAGCGAACAGGGCAGAACGGCAGTGCACTAGTCGGACAGCAAACAACGAACAAGGAGGTGCAAAAAAATGTCGGGTGGAGGTGCGACCAACGAACAATGAACAACGAGCGAACAACGAACAACGAACAGCGAACAACTTGTCGCGATCGGAGGTGCGACCAACTGAGACCGGGAAGGAAGCAAAAAGGACCCGAAGGAAGAAACAGAGACGTTGTTTCTTGTCGTCTCTCGTTGGTTCTTCTTGTCGGAGCGCGTAGGGCTTTCAACCTAGCCGAAGGCAAGGGCCGCTCCTTTAACCCTCTGTTGTTGGTTCTTGTCGTCAGAGAGATGGTTCATAAAGGGAAAAATTTTGGTTGGAGCCGCGGCTTTCTCACAATTGGAAGAAATAAGGTCGGAGTTGCAGAGGTTCACCAACGGAGATGTGACCGCACGGCGAACTTCGGACGGGCAGTGACCGGAGTTGCGGGCCGGTGATGAAGGCGGACTGGCGGATATTTAGAGAGATAGGGTTTTGTATTTGGGATTTTCCAATTTCAGAATTTTGGAGTCACTCGACGGGCAGAAGTCGCGTAATTTATGGAAGTTTAAAGGTGTCCGAAGATCCGAGTGCTCTACAGTTAAAACCGCAATGCGTGAATGGATGGAATACTCGCAGATAACTGGGAAGATTCAAAGAGATCGCGTCCAAATTTAGCTAGGTCTGGTTTACAGTACAGTGGCTGAATTTGTGTGATGATCTTTGTTGGTTTTTCTTTTAGATGTTAGCTTCTATTTTTTCTGCTGCAGGTCTGCAGTGTTAATTCGACTGCCTCTAGCAGAATGGTGTTTCTATGGTTTGTGTTTCTTTTGGGTTGGTCTAGGCCGTACTGTGTCAATGTATGGTTCTCTCTGATTTTTATCCCTCGGTTATGTTTTGTGTCGTTCGGGTTTTGCCTGTAGGTGGCTGTAAATATTGTCCGAACATTGTATATTTTAGTTGGATTTTGCAATGAGAATTTCCTATCGTTCC